AAGAGTAAGAAAAAACTATTTAGTCAAAGTTTATTTTTCCCTTATCATAACCCGGAAGCAATATCTATAGGCCCTTCGATGATTTCGTGCTAACATCTGACGTGCTTGGCTGAGCCCTGACTAAATTAATGTGTTCGATTTAGTTGTGAGATCTAATGCTAGAAATCGTTAATTGGGAAAGAGAATGTTGACCAATGAGATTGAATCATATACATAACTCATGTTCATATAGATATCTTGAACAAAGGAATATATTGATCACTTGCCTAAGGGCCGAATTCTAATAAGAGTTTGGTAGTTGCATAAATGACTACTATTTATTGATTGTTAGTGAAATATTTGATTGAAAATAGTTGACGACCTATATAAGTGGGAGACTATTGAAAATGGTGTAAATGTCATTAATTGTTTTTGTAATATTTCTAATAACAACATGGGCCTTTTGGGTTGGCCTCATGACCCAAATGACATAAGGAAAAAGGAGAAAAATATTGTGTTAATTTATTAAGTAATTAATAAATTAATTAGAAATTATTATGATAAATTAATTAAAAGGATTTAATTAATTAAAGAGGTTGAATATTAATTAATCATAGGGATTAATTGGAATATTTCAGAACCTCTTGGAAGACATATTTGTTGGAAATAAGTGTCCAATGCCATGACTAAATTGGTATAACTTTGGGAATAATAACAAAGTCCCTTTTGGGTTGCCCCCAATAGCTAAAATAGCTAGAAAATGATTTAAAAGAGTGAGATAAATAGTTTATTAATTTATCATAGCTTGGTAAATTAATTAGAAACTTGTTAAAATTAATATATAATTAATTTGAATTAACTGGAATTAATTAGAATAAATCAGAAATTAATTAAAAGTGTAGGGACTGAATGTTAATTGTTCAAAAGTTGAGCAAAAGGAACATTCTGGAAGTCCTCATGGGGAGGATGGTTAGGGAGCTCTTAGAGCCTCCAATATCAATCTAGGTAACAGATAAGGTAAACATTTGAATCATGATTAAATCTGATTATTTAATTGATCTAAATCAGGATTTATCTGCTAGTTACCACAGGTATATATAGACCCTTATAGCCTTAATAATTTAATTCCTAATATTCCCTACACTTAGAGAATCTGATTTTCTCAAGCGATCTCTCTCCTTTCTCCTCAACTTTCTAGGGTTTTAGATTTTCGGGTGTGACATATTAGAGACATTCTACTTATGGTGCTATCCCTTCCAAGTGATTGCAAGAAATTTAGGGTCTTTAAAGGAATCAAAAGTAAATAAAATTTTACTTTAGAGGTTAGTAATTCTATCCTTCTTTCTAGTTTAATTTCATGATTTTGAAAATAGGTTGCTATAATAGTAAAATGTAGATCTAGGGTGCATGTATACTTAGGGTTATATTTGAATGCTTCTGTTGCCTAAATCTAGTGTAAAGATGCGTAGAAAACCCATCAATATTATGGACGATTTCTAAATCTTTAGGATAGGGATAGAGCTATTTTAAATCATATAAGGATAAACCCTAGAATTTGTATCTATCTGTGATTCTAATAACTACCTATACATAGACTAGTAGGGGAAACCCTGTAGCCAGTTATTCTTTATTTAAAATTCATCCAATCTGTGTCTCTCTCACTCTCTAAATCTAAAAATCACAACCTGATATTGTCATATTTTATACATATACTTAGGCATTATTTTAATACAGTTTAGCTATATTTTGGTAAAATACAAAGATATTTGGTACTTATAATGATTAAATTGTATGTTGCAACCAAAAAGTATATTCTCAGGGAAAAGGAACTGAAATTGAAAAGAGTTGGATACTTGGAGAACTATGCTGAAAATAAAGAAGAAGAAAGATGAAGTCGTGCAAATTACATGCCACGACGCGACAATCTCAAGGCCATGATGTGGCCATTTTTCTTGACACAAAAGCTTCTTGTGACTTGGGGCATACGTGTTTTAAATTAGGGCCATGACGTGGAGGTCTATTTCCCATAGTGTGGCAACCAATTTTTGGCAACTATATATATCGAACTTTTGGTTGAATTTGGGGAGTTGGCTATGGAATTAAGTTAAGATCTACGACTAAACTCCCTGGAGAATCCTTGGAAGATCAGAATTGATGTTTATGCATTGAAGAGATTTAGAAGGAGAACAACATTTAATCATTTGGTTTGCTATCTTTAACCATATCTCTAATTAGCTTTGATTTTATGTTTTTTATGTTTTAGTTATACGCTAATTAACCTATACTTCTGTTTGGTGAAGATGAACCCTTATCCTATGTGTTGATTTTGAGTTTATGGATGTTTTATGTTGATTTTACTAGTGTTTGATAATAAAAATCCTAGCATGTTGAAGTTTTATCTTATATTGCTTATTATACAAGTTTTATGTAGTAGATGATCATTCTAATTGCATTAATTTTTTATCTAGTTCTTTATGACCATTAAATAATTAGATCTAGTGACTAAACAAATCCCAGAGTTAGTAAATAAAATTTAGCTACTTTGGTATTAATTTGTTATCCAGTTGTTTATGACCATTAATTTGTTATCTTTTCTTGATCTAGGATAGGTAATTCATAGATTTATCATTAATATTCCAATCCGTGCTTATATCAAATTTGTGATTCATAGACTTATGCTTGATCATTGCATGGCAATTCATAAATTGGAAAATCTAGATATCGGACCATGATAACTAGTAATTTAATGAACTGGTAATCAATATAATTTATCCACTAGAAATCGACCATAGGAGATGGGGAATTCAAAACTAAACGGAATTACTCTTTAAAGCCTCATATAAAGTTATTTCTTGGTTTAATTATTAGTAGTTATTTTCTAAAATAAAATTTTGTTCTTGGGATCGACACCCGACTTAACTAGACTCTCGTATAGTTTAACTAGGTACACTGCCTGAGTGCAATTAATTAGTCAAGTGGTTATGTTTATAAATTTAAAATTGGTAATATATATAAATTGCATATCATAACCTCTCTCCTAGGGTTGGTGATTTTCATACAAACCTTAATTTGCGGGTTCTTCCTTTTGTTATTTGGTATGTGTCTAATTACATTAGAGTGGTTCTCTTTTGGAACCTTTATCCTGTAATAAACTAGCACGTACGTGATCACAAGGAAGTGAATCCGAGCTTAGTAATCTTTACTTTTTAGTTTTTTCAAAGTACATTGTTATAATAGTAAAACATAGATTCTAGGAGGCATATGCACTTAAGTATATCAAGTTTTGATTTTTCCACTACCTTTAGATAGTGTACTTGATACTTTACATTCCCACAAATATTGACATATAAGTTCTTCTTCTTCTTCTTCTTCTTCTTTTTTTTGCTAATTTGCAAATACTCATTAAATTACATTAATCCTTATTACAAATTTATTGATTTACAAACTGATTGAATTTTTTACATAAACACAAACTGATAGAGTCTTTTTCTTTGTTTCAAATCTATGAGTAACAACCCAATTGACAACTTCAGAGAAATATTCAAGAGGAGGACCTACGAGCACCCATATAATACTCATATATTGCATTCTTTAATATTCCAATAGGGTGATGATCTTTCTTTGAAGTACTAACATATATGAATTCTCGAGAAGTACTAACATAGAAACATACACATCCGTTTTTCGAGATTTTCATAGAAGTACCAACATAAACATTGAAACATCATTTTTTTCAGAAAAAAACAACAAAATTGAAGATTGTTTCAACTGATTTCAAACAAAAATAAGGTAGAAGTAAAGTACCTGAATGATAGGGGGCGTTGGCGATGGGTGGAGGTCAACAACAGTGAATTGCTTGAAGGCCCGATGGCCGACGGTAGGAGCTAGTTTTTGTGGAAGAAGGAAATGAGGAAGAGTCGTTGAGAGGGAACATTAAAGAAATAATACATTCTTTTTTAGGGCACAAAAGTCATTTAAGGGTAAATTATCAGGCCAACCACATTTCAAGTAAAGACCGAGTCAGGAGGATTGAGTCACGAGGCTGGTCGACAAATGCTTATCGGGTCAAACGAAACTAGCCCTTTATCAAACAAGCTGATTGGACGAAGTTATCCACAAATGTTAACCGAACCAATCAACTACACATCAAACAAACCCTTAGTAGAACCAACTCAAGGACACTACTCCTTGACCCTCGCAAGGGACGTGAGGGTTTTTACCGGGTATGTGTGGGGTGTACGACCACATAGACTGTATTGTTTAGGGGGCTTAATTTTTTTACGTATATTAGTATTAGCAACGGATTAGTGACCGATTATAATAGAATTGTGACAAATTTCGTTACGAATAATTTCATAACAATTATCAATTTATCAATGATTTTGTACTTATATAAAAAAATTATGATTAGTGGACCATTTTTAATGGACCAACTACAAGGGCCCAACCCTTTATCTCATTATTTATCATGACCAAGATCAAAATCGTTTTATACAAATACGATCGGTTCATAATTTAAATATGCTCGAACACTCATGATCCAATTACCCAAAAGATGAGATGCACTATCTTGAATTTTGAACAATTCATCCGAGGAGTGGCATTTGCACAAATTTAGATTTTTGCATTGCTATGTACAACCAAAATAAAATGCATCCCACCCCAATTCTATGCTCGCCTCTAAACGGAAGTTTCATGGAACGCATTATACCAAAGGGGAGTGTTATTTAACAAGAGAATTATGCATGCATTAAATAAAGTTATAAAAATATTAAAATAATATATATATATATATATATATATATATATATATATATATATATATATATATATATATATATATATATATATTAAATGTAACATTATATCATATCAGATTTCATAAATAAATCAATAAAACAAATATGAGTTGAACATATTTTGTAAATATAAAAAAGAATCCCATTTCCCGCCGGGCGGAGATTACGAACACACTAGGCCCAAGCAACTATAAATACCAATGACAGAAGCTCTCGTAAATCATGGACGGAAAAAGCTCTAGCAACACTGCCGGAAAGCCTATCAGGTGCCGAGGTAAGGTCTTCTACTCATGCTTCAGCACTCTAATTCCATTAACTTACATCGATAAAAAAAGCTGTTTGAAAATTTGAAACTGCATGTTTTCCCGAGATATAAACAATTACCTAATGGATGAAGGCAACATCTGTCGTAATTTTTTATTTCTTTGAAGAATCAATGGATGATTGTATCTTTGGCAGCTGCGATTGCTAGGAAACCACGGGAACCGCTGGTGATCGAGGAAGTGATAGTGGCTGCACCAAAACCTCGCGAAGTTCGAATCAAAATCATATGCACATCGCTTTGCCATAGTGATATTAACAACTGGAAATTGGAGGTAGATAGTTGTTTTAGATCAAAATTTAAATCAATCGAGTGTTTTTGTTTATGTTAATTAACGATTGTTGTTTTCTCCTAAAGCGTCCTCCTGCAATTTTCCCCAGAATACTCGGTCATGAAGCAATTGGGTAAGAATCGATCAAAATTAGCAAACTGTTCATGCTAAATCTGTTGAATTCTCGTCCAAATAACATAAATTCCTTCAAATTTTCTCCATTAAAGGGTTGTAGAGAGTGTTGGTGAAGGAGTACATGAAGTTGTTGAAGGAGACACCGTGATCCCAATGTTTTTGCCGGATTGTGGTGAATGTGCAGATTGTTTGTCCAAAAAAAGCAACCTCTGTTCAAAATATCCTTTCCATTGTACTCCATGGGTGGGTAGAGATGAAACAAGCAGATTCACAGACATGAATGGAGAAACTTTATACCATTTCTTGCATGTATCAAGTTTTACTGAGTACACAGTGGTTGAAGTTGCTCGTGTAATCAAAGTTGATCCAGCAATCCCAGCAAACAGAGCCTGCCTCTTTAGTTGTGGAGTATCAACTGGTAATTTTTGCTTAGTTTTATGCACTTTTTACTATATTTATGATATAGATTGGTGATAAAATGAAGATTATGCATTTGAGCACTCGAGTTTATGAAAATAATTTTTTTTTCAGGGGTAGGTGCTGCTTGGAAAGCAGCAAATGTGGAAATTGGAAGTACAGTTGCTATATTTGGACTGGGTGCAATTGGGCTAGCTGTATGATTGATTCTTATCAACTTATATAAATATTAAACTTTTGGGCCTTACATATAAAGCCTTTAATAAAATTTTGTAATCCAACATAATAAACACTACATACAAAGAACTTTATAAAGTGTAAAAAAAACAATATAATTAAATCAAGAAAGGGTGCTGAATATTTTTCTTAGTTCACAATGTTGACATTAACAGGCCAAAATAGTTAATCAGGAAAAACGTGTTAAAGTTTTATGGTTTGATTGGAAAAATAAAGTAATAATGGTTAAACCTAAAATATGATGTTTTTTTATTGTGTAATTTCCCTTTTTTTTCATATGACATATATATTGATGAGGGTAAAATGGGTATTATCTTTTTACAGGTTGCTGAGGGAGCAAGGCTATGTGGAGCTAAAAGGATCATTGGTGTTGATGTGAACCAAGATAAATTTGAAATAGGTAACTTATTATAATTCTTTAAAAAAATATAAAAATTTCCCATTTTTAAGATTAATCATTTCTTTATTATTGACAGGAAAGAAATTTGGAGTTACTGATTTTGTGAACCCACGTATCATTGGGGACAAAACTGTCAGCCAGGTAATTAATTTAATACATTATGCTTCATTTTAAAATTAATATCTCAAATTCTTAAATGAAAATTAAAAAACGTTTCTTGAAGCAAGTGATAATTGAGATGACTGATGGAGGTGCAGATTATTGCTTTGAATGTGTTGGTTTGACTTCATTAGTGCATGAAGCTTATGTTGCTTCTAGAAAGGTCTAATTGTTTTCTATATTTTTATATTGTGAGACATGAAATTACATTTTTATCCACTAATTGAATCTTTTTTTTTTTATAACAATGAATGTAATCTTTAGGGATGGGGGAAAACGGTTATGCTGGGAGTTGACCAACCGGAGGCAATGTTGACTTTAAGTTCTTTTGAGGTACTTCACACTGGAAAATCAATCATGGGTTCTCTTTTTGGAGGTCTAAAACCAAAATCTGATATCCCTGTTCTCATAAAACGCTGCATGGATAAGGTAAATATTTTGAATGTTTAAAAATATTTTTATTTTATAAGAAACTAATGAATTTCTTGATCTTTTTAGGAACTACAACTTGACTTATTTGTGACACATGAGGTTGAGTTTGAAGACATCAACAAGGCTTTTGATTTGCTTCTTGAAGGGAAGAGCTTAAGGTGTGTGATTTGGATGAAGAAATGATCAAATTTCGTTGCTACAAAGAACCCTTTCTTTCATGAATTCGTGACTTTATTTGACTCTTAAAATATTTTAAATAATAGTAATTGGTCTACATGACTCTTTAAATATATATTGGATGTGAGTGCCTGATTTAGATTCACATAAAATAAAACTTGTAGAAAGGTCTTATAAGTTATAAGCTTTTGTACTTCTCACTAGAGATGATCTCGGGTCAGTCTTCATAATATTAACAAAATATTTGGTCTTACCGTCTTAGGCTTGGATTAAATACAATTAATAGTAAAAATATTAGCTAATTGATTTGTCTTTTATCTATCAAATCCGAAATAATTTTTTAAAAATTATTAACAATATGTTATTGTTATTAATTGTCTTGACAGATAATTTCGGATATTGATATTTTTTGTTAGTTAGAAGTTAATAATTGCAATATGACAACTTATAAAAAGTTGATTCACTTGACTGATTTTAGGCTTGATTACATGTTATACTACGTCTTTTTTTTTTATGTTTAAATAATGATAAACTTGACATGTTACGAAAATATTTTTTAGATAAAAGGAATAAATATGAGGTTTGTTGTACTTGCCATTTTCACAAAATAGCTAAACAAAAGACAAAACTGCAAAATTAGTCCCTGTGGTTTGCAAAAAACTTTGGATAAAGTTCAAAAAGTTTTCAACTTGCATGGAATGTTCAAAATCAAAAATTTTCTTTGGTTTTGGTCCTTGGTAAACTTTAAATGACAATTTTGCCCTTTTTATTTCTTTTTGTATTTTTTTTTGAAATTATTTTACATAATTTATTAAAACAAAAAGAGAAAAGAAAAGCATTAACCTACACACCCTACCCCCACCGATGCCCTCTCTCTCTCTCTCTCTCTCTCTCTCTCTCTCTCTCTCTCCACGCAATTTTCGTACTTCCAATCCTCTCAAGCACATATCTTTTAATCGGAGGCTATGGAAATGACAAGGATGAAACCTCAGCAAGAATCACATCTCATCAAGATCCCTACTGTTCGTGGTCGTCTGATCAGAAAAGAATTCAGCCTGATGGTCGCCTCACAATCATATCTGGGTTTTTTTTATCTTCATCCTAATTAGTCTCTTGGAGATAATGGTGGGTGTTGTTTATCTGGAAATGTACGAAGAAGACGAAGGATGGAGATGGCAATTTCATTGAAATTTCATGGGTCCTAGGGTCTTCATTCGTGTATAAAAGAGATACAGGGTATGATTTTTCATTTTTGATGCAGTTTTCGATGTTGAAATCCTCTTCACTATCTTCTTCTTTATTAGAATCTGTTAATGGATTGATTTTAAGATTTTCCCTATAAATTTCTTTTCGATTTTTTGGCATTAAAGATATAAATGCTCAAATTTTTATCTGAAATTCTTTGTGTTGATGAATGGGATTTGTTTCTTGATTATTGTGAGCTTCGAAATGGGAAGGTAATGAAAATTAATCAAAAGGAGTTTTCAAATGTATGAATTTTTGTTTGTGATGCGGTTCGATGGACACGATTGAAATTTTGATTTCGTTTGGATTCAATGGAGTGAGGTTTTCATTGGCTGAATAAGATTTGAAAGAATATGAAGGATGATTGAATGCCGGAGAGATGCGGTACCCTGTTAATTGTTTTCTGTAGATAAGTGGTGATACATTAGATAGAGAACAGATCGATGGCAAATGCTAGTTACATATGCGAGATTGGAAGGCGGAGATGGTCGTGGACGATCTTGGTAGCCATGGTTATGCGATTAGTCATTTCTGAGGCGTCTGTGAAAGTTTTCGGTGGAGATACGAATTTGTTGTCTCCAATGGATCTGAATTGAAACAATGGTGGGGTGGGAAAATGAAGATATGGATCAGAGAAGACGACGAAGATTAGAATTTATTTGTGTACCGATAGATTTAGGATTTAAAGGTGTAGCGTTTAATGCGATTGTATAGAGAGAGAGAGAGGGGAGGGGGGAGAGAGATAGGGAGAGGGAGAGGCATAACCGTCTTTTCAAGTTTTTTTAGACTAAAATCAAAGAAAATTCTTAATTTTGGACCTTACATGCAAGTTGAAAACTTTTTGGACCCTATCCAAATTTTTTTGCAAACTACAGGGATTAATTTTGTAGTTTTGTCTAAACAAAATAATAGAACGAAAAAATTGCAAAAATGGTCCCTGTGGTATGCATTTTTTTGGGGTTTTAGTCCAAACTCCGAATTTTTTGGCTCCATGGTCCTTTTGAGCTAGTTTGGTTGCGGATTTGGTCCCTTGGTAAACTGAAATGACTTTAATACCCTTGGGCATTTATTTTCTATTTCTAAATTCATTCTTTTTTAAATTTTAATAATTATTTATTCATTTTAATAATTAAAAAATAAAATGGCTCTCTCTCTCTCTCTCTCTCTCTCTCTCTCTCGTCCTTTTCACAAAACAAGAAATTAAAAATCAAGTAAGAAATATTCACCCCTTCTTATCTTTTCGGTCTTCAAGAAAGAATCAAACTAAAACCAAAAAGATATCTAGAATCATGTCCATCAACAACAAGCATCTGATTTCATTTTTGAAAATAATCGTTCCTAGCATCATAAATTTGATTTCTCACTTCTCAAACACTCGATTCATACAACATAGATTAACTCACACACTTCAAAATCATGTCATTGGGATGAACCCACCAGGAAAATCGAGTATGCATCAAAAATTAAAACCAAATATCTCAAACTCATAGGGTACACCCAAAACCTGCAACTCAAGTATGTGTGTGTGACAGTGTGAGTGAGTTTGATGTGAAGACAATCAGGCAAAGATTCTAATTATCAAGCTTACTGAACCTTTGATCTTGATCTCGGTCTCCCTACCCCGTTCTCTCTCAATTCTAGGAAATTAAGAAAATTGAATTGGTGCACCATTCTACTACATTTTCTTATAGATAGAACTAGGAGAGAAGTGGAAATGGTAGTTTGATTGAGAACCGATTGCCACCTTGAATGGTTGATGTTTAAGTATATCCATCCATATCGCCACCATCTTCATAAAAATACTGGAGAAGACGAACCAGATCTTCAGCTCCATCATCGTCGTTGCCACCACCACTGGAGAAGAAGAAAACCTTAAGCTCGTCACCACTACCAGATCTGCAAACGCGACACTCGGGTCTGAAAACGAGGTCCTTAGATCTGAAAGTCATCATCTCCTTGAGCTCGTCTCTGCTAAAAGAGAAGACCTACCAGTCGGCGACGTTAGGGCTTGCTTTAACAGGAGGAGCTCGTCATCTGAGGAGGAGATCGGAAACCCACGCACTCGATCTGATTTTCTCTTCTTCAAGGTGTTCATCCTAAAATCATTCATCAGATTTGAGTTTGTGTGTGTGGAGAAGAAGGAGATGGTGGAGGTTACCGGAAAAATCAATTTACAGGGAAAGGAGGTGAAGGACACGGTGGTAGTGGCAGACGGTAGTTGAAGTGTGTATGTGTTCTTGAGTCTATGTTCATGAATATGAATATGTGTTCTTTAGTTTGTACTAGAGAAAGAGAGAGAGAGAGAGAGAGAGAGAGGTGGGCCCCTCTTTTTTATTATTAAAATAAATAAATAACTATTAAATTTTAGAAAAATGAAAGAAAAATGAAAAATAAATACCCCAAGGGTATTAAAGTTATTTCAGTTTATCGAGGGACCAAATCCGCAATGAAACTAGCTCAAAAGGACTACGAAACCAAAAAAGTTGGGGTTTGGACTAAAACACCAAAAATATGCATACCACAGGGACCATTTTTGCAATTTTGTCTAATAGAACATTGAAAAACATTATTAATTAAATGCTAATAACTTCTATAGAACCATTTAATTTTGTGGGAACATGCCTCACAACAAATTCAATACGTAATAGAATAAGTCATACAAGGTGGAAAAAGCGAGAACCATCTAACAAAAGGAGGAAAGTGTAGGGTTGTCTTCCTAAGATACATGTACCTCTATCTAAAATGCTAAACTTATATATAGTCTACTCTATGTTAGGTTATTGTGTTCTAACCATCTATTGTGTGCATGTAAGATTGTGTACCAATCATTTTAATTATTTTAAGAAAGTAATTAATACATATTACATGTTGAAGATATAATGAATATTAACTAAATCTTCAACATTTAATATGCATTAATTACATTTTTAAAATAAATAAATCAATTGGTCCACAATCAATCCTACATGCACATAACAGATTGTGGAAACATTTGAACCTAACTCTACTATATATATATATATATATATATATATATATATATATATATATATATATATATATATATCGGTTCTACAATAAATAGTATAGTCTATAGGTTCATAATATGTAAATCACATGTAGATGATATACATAATAATACCATCATGAATTAAGTAGAAGCTAAATTCTTTGAAGGTATTTTTCCTTACAATTATAAAGGGAAAATGGTCCCACGTTAAAGAAAACAATCCTCTAGATTATGGATTGAATGAAAATATTCTTGAAAAAAGTTTACATTTAAATATGGAAAGCTCTTCCAAGGATCAAGAGGAAAATTTGGAACCAAGAATAAGCAAATAAGGCACATTTTGGACCAAAGAAGCCACTATGTCATGGCCAACACCTTGCCACGTTGTGGTGCTTCGTAGATGCGTGTTCCTCCAACAGCTAATGCCACGTCATGGTTCCCTTAGTACCACACCGTGGGCAAGCCAAAATCCTTAAAATAAGTAATTAATTCGAAAAAGCATACCTGGGAAACGGATGTTACAATTCTCCCTCATTTAAATTAGATTTTGTTCTTGAAATTTCTCCTTACGAATTTCTCTTAGAACATCCCCCAAACCCCTTATGGGTTTTCCAAAATCCACTACCTTCTGCACGAGTCAATACTTTAACACCATATTTTCGCCTTATAGTATGAACGACATGTTATGTAAATAAAAGTTTTTGATAGAAGATTATTTAGGAAAAGTAGTCTCGATGAAAGTCATAGCAATCACAAAACCGAGAGCGTGTGTATAGAAAACGTCAAAATATGACTTCATAAGAGGAAGTTATGGTTTTTAGAAGTTACAGTATAGCAGTACGCAACACGAAAACTTAAATTAGGATTAGTCGATTGTTGGGAAAAACAATCTAAATGAGAACTTAAGATCTTGTTGATACTTATTCGTCGATATAAAGACAACCAAAAATGGATATTACATGAGCGATTTATGATTTTTATACGGACTTTAACAATCTAAACCTGTTAAAAATATAACTTTAAAAATAAAGTGAGAAATAGCCGACGGAGTCTAAATGAAAATTGTAGATCTCGTTGATATCTACGAGGGGATATAAGGAACATCGAAAACGGAGCTCGTATGAAAAATATATTGAATTTACAAATTCCATGTTTTACATGGCGTGCACAAAGCACGTGACGTGCAACTTCTAGAAGGTGCAACATGGACCAAAGTGGTTTTGATATGTGGCAGGCATCGAATGGATTGAAGTTACCGTAGTGTACGACACATATCCTTACTATAAATAGAGTGCTCCAGCTTCATTTGTCTCTCACTCATCTTTCTTTACTCCAACTCTCTCTAGAAATCCCTCACCCCTCGAGTCCGACCTTTCTGGTTTTTTGGAGTACTTTAGTGAGGCCCTACGACATCATAGAGTTAGGCAGAAAGAAGTGCTCGGGTCGAAGTTCTTCCAACACAAATTCCGGTTTTCACTAGGATCATTGTAAGTTAAGTTATGCTTTTAGTGTAACTTATATTTATATTCATAGTCATTGTTATGAATATATAAATAAGATTTATCAATAATTCCAATTACAATACTGATTGATCTACTTACGGGAGAAGTGTCCAGAATGGTCATGTTGGCTTGATTGTTGGGTTTCAGAAAGGCTATACGATGAAATGGTTATGCCTCCTAACTGTCCGTCCTGGCTGATCCTTATTTGATAGAACTCTCAACATTCATTGAGATTAGTGAAAGATCTAACTTTCATTACCAGATCGTCATAGAGATTAATAGGTTAAACTATTATAGGTTGATACTTGTTCGACGCTCTATCCGCCAGTTGGATCGCCAGTAGGATTGTCAGTATAGCTGTCAATCGTCTAAGTAATTGTCTAGGTGAGTTATCTCTTTATACCATTGTTATCTCATTATACCATGAACTACAATATATATCCATATATGTTAGGATAGGGAATGAGTAGAGTACAACTAGTAGTATAATCTCTATGTGCTTAAGTGTGAATCGGTAGAGTAGAAAGTATAAATGTGTATGTATTAGTATAATCTAAAGTGCAGTTTCTATATGCGAAATTGTTGTGATATTAGACTTAGGTAGGGATTGATGGTGTAACGATTAAAGAGGCTGGGAACCTATAGACCCACATAGATTTAGTTAGGGGATGATGGTGGAATGGTTAAAGAGGCCATGAGCCTATATGCCTGTGTATTCCAAGATACACATCTTATTTGCATATCATGAGTTATTGTATGCATGTATATGTATTGTGGTAAATGGTATTTTAGGGAACTCACCAAGGCTCGCGTGACATCCCCAAATTCACTGTCATTTTAAAATTTTTATTTATGCTTATTTGAAAATCAGAGTATTCATTTTAAAGAATAATATTGCGGAATTTGTTTCCAGAAAACATGATAAATATATTATCAAAGCATTTCCGAAGAAATGTAATTTGTTTATATTAAAACTTTGGGATGTCATCGTCAATACAGAAACATAAGCATAAACAGACCTTACATTCATTAACACTAGTGATTTACATCTCCTTTAATCTCTCAGAGTAATGTAGCTTCGTATCGACACTTGTGATACAAATAAACTGAGTGGGTCAGGTTGGGAAACATGATGAGTACATAGGATTTTCAACCTACAATAATAAAGTTATTATGTTTCATCATCAAACAGTTAACCCAATTACCCATCCCTATTATCTTATTTATTTCTTAAGGATCTACCCTAAGAATCATCTATCATTCAATCATTCATTCCTAAGGAATAGTAACGAAGTCCATCGCTGTCAGGGTTTATGTAACAAGCACTAAGTGCATAGCTGTTGAGGTTATTTGTTAGGCACTAAGTCCATAACTACCAGGTTTTATTTATTTTATTGACAATATTATTTTAGGGAGTCCACCCACAATACATATCAATGGTTTTTTAGAGTACATCTGATGAACATATCGTTCACAACACCTATAGGTTGTGAGCTTGCTAGTGTTCCACTGGACTGTCTAGAATAGTATGTGGTTGTCATCTTTACACGGGTGTTAGATAACTTACCGGGGCTTCAGGGTAATTTAGAGGGGCTTAAAAGAGTGTTAAAGGGTGAAAGAATGAGTAAAGAAGCAACCAAAATCGGGCAGCCTCGCTTTCCTTTTATAGTGGTTTGCAGCCTCGCACTATGTTGGGCGTACTTTTGTACACTAGGCGTACCTTCGTACGCTGCGTGTAGATGCAACATGGCATGTGTTCATAAACCGAGCTCCGTACGTTTCTGGTGCGTGTCAACATGTGAGGTAAGGCGACGTGGATGGCTCCGGTCCAAGCTTCTTGGTACGCTAAGCGTACCTACGAAGTATGTTGGGCGTACTCCTCCGATCCAGTCTTAGGAATTTAGCCATAATCTTCAAAAAATCATTTATTTTTCATACGACCTTTGTTTTTTATGTTCTTTATATTCACGTGTAGGTGAGATTATACTCTACAACTTTCGTTTAGATTCTGTCGACTAATTTTGACTTTATTTTTAATGTTATATTTTTAACAAGTCGGGACAGGAAAAGTCCGTTAAAAATTCATAACTTCTTCATCTGACGTCCGTTTTCATCTGTCTTTTTACCGTTGTACTACTATTAACGAGAACTTCGATTCTCGTTTAGGTTGTGTCGGCTAAAAATCACTCGATCTTTATTTCGAGGTTTTAGTTGTCTACTACTATACCGAAACTTAGAAAACATAACTTCCTCATACAAAGTTAGATTTGGATGTTGTTTTTATGAAAATTATCGATTTAATGAATACTAAAACTTTCATTTAGATCATAAGGGCTAAAAATTATTTTATCGAAAACTCACTTCTTACGTCATCGGCGTCGTGCCGGTTCTATCGCGAAACTTCAAGGAGTCGTAACTTCTTCGTTCTTGCTCGAATTTCGGTATTCTTTATATCCCCGGAATCCTTGTTTCAACCACTACAACTTTGTTTATAGATATCGGATTTATCTAATATTTATTTTCGACGCTTAATTGTATCCTTAATTATAATAATTAAGTTTAAAGCACATAACATATTCTTATTACTTCAAAACGAGTTCCAATGGTTGACCTAGACTATTACACCATCATTAATGCTTAGCCTAGAAACACGAGTGTTACAATTCTCTCATCCTTAGAATGATTCCGTCCTTGGAATCATACATCAACA